AGTCAAAATAAAAAGTACTGATACCAGAAAAATGTACTTAAGTACAGTAACAAAGTATTTGTACTCCACTACTTCCCACCTCCAAAACTCATACTGAGATATCTCTTGAGGATGTTACTTTTGCACGTTGAATTACCATACATATTTAAATGCAGCCTCTCATTATTTATCCCTCAGAACTGCAGCAATATGTTATGAATACCGTCTCGGAGAAAATAAGATGCTAATGTGTCGAGATGTGTAGCCGAAGGGATTCTTCTGCACAACATCAGAGCACTTTGTTTTGATACTTTCCTAAAGAACTGCTTCCTATTGCAGTTCAAACCCCGCAGCAGTCAATATTGCTATTTACATATTTTCTTAAGTAATTGTGTAGTCCTGTTTATATTCTATAAGGCTATTCTGGTGCTTCGTAGCTGGAAACAGAGACGTAGTCAATTTGAACCCCTGAATTGAATCAGATTCTCCTCACTTTGGTTTGTAATGTTGCCGAAATGATTTTTTCCCCCCTTATCTTTCTGTTTGTACTTCAGCTTATCTCTCATCTCTTGCTAGCTGTGAAGTCATCTAAATCAAAATCAATAGGTTTCATCAAAGCACCTCGATCGCCCTCTCTTTCTCTGACACACACACACACACACACAGACACACACACACACACACACACACACACACACACACACACACACACACACACACACACACACACACACACACACACACACACACACACACAGACACACACACACACACACACACACACACACACACACACACACACACACACACACACACACACACACACACACACACACACACACATACACACACACACACACTGAACAAGACATTTTCCACTCTCTGTCCGATCTGTCCCAGTTCCATTTTGTGTTTCCCTCCTATCTCTTCATTCATCATTCTTTAATCTCTTTCTCTCCTTCTTCACCGGATGAAATGTGATTCATTGCCTGTGAAGTCAAAAAGCTCCTGCTCCGGGGCTTTGCGAGAGATTAGCCTTGTCACTTTTGATGTCGCGGACGAGTCATGCGAAGGGAATGCAGCTCCGCATCCTGGTGAGTCATACAGACGCTCTGAGAGCCCTGAAGCCGTGGGACGACATGTGGACCAACAGAGGGAGACAGAGCAAACCCAGGAAGCTGAAGAAGAAACCAAAACCATTATCGTGGGAGAAGAGGATGCTGCAGAAGACAAGGAAGAAGACAAAACCAGAGTTGAAGTTGAAGGAAATGAAAAGACACATAAAACAGAAGAAATTGAGTCTGAGGATCAGTCGGGAAGACCAGCATCAGGTACGTCAGATCGTGAGGCAGAACTCGTGAAAAAGGAGGATGAAGGAGACCGAGATACAGATGATGATGATGATGTTGATGTGGAAATTGAAAACCCAGAGGAAGCTGAGCAACAGGCAGAGCTGAGTGATGAAATGGTTGCGACTACAAACGGGGTCACCGAGTTAGATAATGCCGAACAGCCGTGCTCAGCAGATCCAGATGTGGACCCCTGCTCCGTCCAGAGGAAACACCCAGAGGTCCTGGAGAGAAGAGAGGAGCGTGCACGGAGAGCAGACAACAGATCAGTTAGAAACCTCCAGGTACTGCAGGCTTCTGTCGTCCCTCCGCTCAAGAGCTAGTGTTGTGTGATAGCATTGCGGCAGTCCTTTATTAAAAGTGAGTGGTCATATGCTGTTAGTGTGTGGCCGTCGTATTGCCTTGTCTGTTATGGTTATGCTACAAAAGCCATCATTGCTCGTGTGTAGGTAGAGAACGTTTTGTGATCCCCAAGAGCCTTTTTATTATCTTATATTTCATTTAGGACTTTCCAAGCACCTCTCCATCGTGGGCTTCAGCTTCTTTCCCAAGGATGTTGACAGGGATCAAAACCACCTACCCTCCCGTTGGTAGACGGCGCATTATCCCCCGAGTCACCGCCACCCCTAGAGCTTTTGTTTTTGAGCATTCACCCTTCATTTTATAGCAGTGATGCCTTTTAATAAAGTGTCTTCTGTTGCCTTGTGATAGACGTCAGGACGAGGCACCGGCACCCCCTCTCAGAGAGACCAGGACCTCCAAAAAGAGAACCTCCATCTGGCCTCTGAGAACCTGGAGCTGCGCTTTCAGCTGGAGCAGGCCAACAAAGACCTGCCAAGACTCAAGGTAAACAAAACCTCATGAGAGAAGGAGTTGTTCCGTGCGATATCTTTGATTGATATACCAATGGCATCCCATAGCGCATGATAGTGTGTCCAGTAAGGCGTGTGAAAGCATACTTGCCAACCCTTTTCGCGGGGGACTCTCGATTTCATTGGCCTCTCCCGGTTTCCTCCCGGGGTCATATTTCTCCCGATTTCTGACAAAATCTGATTTACTCAGGACTGTTTCCACTCAGACTTTAATACAGCTACACCATTGTTTGGTTTCCATGGTAGCGCGTCTCTTTAGTAGCGCACGCAACTGAAAGTCTGAGAGGGTGAGGGAGACAGTCACAGAAAACAGAACAAGAATCGACAACTACTCTACTCTCTGCTCACTCCCTTCCTGCCCACACATATGCTCC